GACCCCGCGGGCTCAGGCCATCCACTCACCTCAGCCTCCCGAAGGCGCAGGATGGCAGGCGGAGCCGCCGAGCCCGGCCGAATCTGCCTTTTAAGGTGAGTGATGTCCCGTTGTATGTCGACATGTCCGCTCGTTCATCTGCCAGTGGGTTGCTGCTGTGAATGCCGCTGTGCACGTTCGCGTAGACACACCTGTTGGAGTCGCTGTGTCCCGCCGTCTGGGGCTTTATGTCCTGTGTGGAACCACTGGACCATGCCATGCTGTTTTCCCTAGTCCCACCCGCAGTGCACAAGAGTTCCAATTTCCTCATTTGTATTCTGGGATTTTTGGGCAGTGGAATTTTGTTTTTCAGTCGGGGTCTCTGTCACCCGGGCTGGAATGCAGTGGTACACTGCAGCCTTGACCTCTCGGGCCCAAGCAAGCCTTCTACCTCAGCCCCCTTGAGTAGTTAGGAATACGGGCGTGCGCCCCCATGCCTGGCTGATTTTTTATTTTTTTTGTAGAGACACGGTCCCTCTACGTTTCCCGGCTGGTCTTGAACTCCCGGGCTCGAGTGATCCTCCCACCTGGGCCTCCCAAAGTGCTGGGACGACAGGCTGTTTTCTGCTTCTGATAATAGCCATTCTGCTTGTGTGAAATGGCATGTTTTTGTGGATCTGAACCGCACTTGCCTAGTGGTTAGGATGTTGCACCTTTTTTCATGTGCTTATTGGTCATTTGTGTATGTTAAATTAGCCAAGTTATTTTCCCATTTTGAACTGGGCTCTTGGTGGTTGTTGGGCTTTAGAGAATCTCTCTTCTGAATGTTAAACCTCATGTTTCCTCCCATCCTGTGGGAAGCCTTTTTACTCCTGACGGTGGCCTTTGATGCACAAACATTTTTAGGTTTGGCAAAATCCAGTTTGTCCGTTTCTTCTTGTCTATGCTTGATGTCATAGTCCAGAACTTATTGCTGAATTCAGTGTCATGAAGCTTTTTCACTGTTTTCTTCTAAGAGTTTTACAGTCTAGCTCTTAAGTTGGGTCTTTGACCTATTCTGAGTTAATTTTTGTAGGGGTTACAGTGGGGTTATGTCTCGACAAGCCCATCGTTTGGTTGAAAATGCATTTAATTCACCTAGGTTAGGCTTAGCCTAACCTCGCTTAAATATGCACAGGGCACTCCCGTTCACCAGCCCATGGGCATAATTATCTAACATAAAGCCTATCATAGCGTCAGCTGTTGAATATCCCCATGAGATTTGTTGAACACGGCGCTGAAAGTGGAAATAGACTGATTATGTGAGTACTCGAAGCTCCACTTCTGCTGAGTGGGAATCACTTTTACACCATCGTGAGGTTGGAACATCACAGAGGCAGGGACCGTCCACCTCTGGTGTAAGGTAATGGTCTAACCTCCTCCTTTGGCATGTGAATTTCCAGTTTCCCTGGCACCATTTGTTGCGCCCTTACATCTTTCTAGTGCTCTGCATTGAAAGGGTGCTCTGCAAACATCCCTGCACCCGTCCGGCTGCCTGGATCGGAGCTTGGCAGGGTTCACCATTGGATCCTGTCCTTCCCTCGCACCCTGTGTCCTGCCAGGTCCCGTTGTTGAGGTTCTTAGATAGATCCTAATCCCATCTCCGCTGCCACCACCCTGATCAAAAGACTGCGGCCTTTACCTGGTTGGTGTCACAGCCCCCTCACCGGTCAACCTACTTCCCCTCTCTGTCCCTCCCTGATCTGTTTCTACTCTGTTGCTGGAGTGATCTGTTCAGGATAGAACGCACATCCATCAAAACTTCTCCCATGGCCTGCAAAGCCCCTTGTGACCGACCCCTCCGTGACTGAGACCCCCTGCCTTGGCACCGTGGCCACCCTGTAGGCTCTGGCGTCAGACTTCCCACCCGTGAAGGCTGCTCTCTCACTGACTGTGTAGCCTTGGACAAATGGTGCCGTGTTCCTCTGCAGCAGTGAAGATGGGAATGTCTGGATCCCAGAGGCTGGCCAAGAGGACTAAGGGAGAGAACGCAGGAAGGTGTTTAGCACAGGCCCGGCGTGCAGGTAGCAGATCTCTGTGGAGATGTCTCAGCAGGGTTGGCTCCGAGTTGATCAGGGTCCCACCCAGTGGTTAACCCAGGGCGGCCCTGACACGGTCATGGGTTTAACACAGCACTTAGTACCGCACTGTGTCTGGCCAACCCCGCACGGGACGAGAAGAGACGCTGAGAGCAAGACCTTTTCTTGCTTCCTGCTGCAGACCTCACACCTCGCACCAGCTCTAGCTTGGGGCGACGCGTACCTGTTCAGCGGTCCAACCCGCTGCAGCTGAACCAAACCTTCAGATAAGGTGTTCTGCGTCAGCGTCACCCTTGGACCAACCTTCACACAAGCATCAGATCACTGTGGGACCAGGGCAATGCCTCCCCTTGGGCCTCTGAACCTACAGCCACCCAAGTCCAGCAGTTCGCACGCAGACTGGCACTCTCGCCTCCGGGTGCTGGGGAGGGAAGCTGGGAGCCACACACCCATGTGCACGAGCGAGTGTGTCGTCTCTACACTTGCTCAGAACCTGTGCCACGCTCTGCGTCTGCCTGGTCCATACCTCCCTGACCTTTGTCTTCAGTCCCAGCCGTTTGGACAAGGTGCTCACCTGCTCATTCGGGTCTTGGAAGCTGAGCCTTTAAACCTCCCGTCTTTCTGGGTGTTCTCAATCCCGTCTCTCTGCTCTGGAAATTGATCACAGCCCCGATGCCTCTGAAGCTTTGCCCTTCCCTGGATCGGGGGAGAGGATTAAAGGAGTGCATAGCTCAATCTCAGTAGCACAAATGGGAAGCTTTTACAAATTTTTTTTTTTTTTTTTGAGTTGGAGTTTATTTTTAAGGAATATTTTTTCTATAGGACTTACAATAACACGATTAAGATTAAAGAATCAAAAAA